CAGCGGGAGGGTCCGCATGGCACCGCCGCACCATTTCGGCACATTCCTCACACGTTTCGTGGCCCCATAGGGAGCTCCACCGTATGCCCCAGCGGGAGGGCCCGCATGGCACCGCCGCCCCACATCGGCACACCCCTCACACGTTTCGTGGCCCCATAGGGAGCTTCACCGAAGGCCCCAGCGAGAGGGTCCGCATGGCACCGCCGCCCCATTTCGGCACACTCCTCACACGCTTCGTGGCCCCATAAGGAGCTTCACCGAAAGCCCCAGCGGGAGGGTCCGCGTGGCACCGCCGCCCCATTTCCGACACACCCTCAAACGTTTCGTGGCCCCATAGGGTGCTCCAATGAAGGCTTCCTTGGGAGGGTCCGCATGGCACCGCCGCCCCATTTCGGCACACCCCTCAGACGTTTCGTGGCCCCATAGGGAGCTCCACCGACGGCCCCAGCGGGAGGGTCCGCATGGCACCGCCGCCCCATTTCGGCACACCCCTCACACGTTTCGCGGCCCCATGGGGAGCCCACCAAAGTCTTCATTGGAAGGGCCCGCATGGCACCAATTTCGGCACACCCCTCACACGTTTCGTGGCCCCATAGGGAGCTCCACCGAAGGCCCCAGCGGGAGGGTCCGCATGGCACCGCCGCACCATTTCGGCACACCCCTCACACGCTTCGTGGCCCCATAGGGAGCTCCAGCTCCACCGTATGCCCCAGCGGGAGGGTCCGCATGGCACCGCCGCCCCATTTCGGCACACCACTCACACGTTTCGGTACTCAGAGGCAGTCATACTCAAACCATGAACCCCCAAAATTAGTTTGCATTAAGTGCATACATGCTCGCATTCAGGCACATAGACTCGCTCGCGCGCAGACTCATTCACAATCAGACTCACTCTCGATCAGACTCACACGCGCTCAATCTCTCGTACTTCGACCTACCGTCTTCGTTCGTGTCGTGTACCCCGCCGACCATGTCGGCAAGCACCTTACGCGGTTCGTGGTCCCATAGGTAGCGCCACCGGAGATGATATTCACAATTGCGGTACTCACACCTGCGCCAGGCAAATTTCAATGTTCCCCGACCCCCCCCAACTGGGAATGGAGGTTCAGTTGGGGCCTTCGCGTTGGGTTGGGGTGGTTTGGCTGGTGGTGATGTTCCCCACTAGCCATCGGTTTCCATGAATCGATGGGAGGCGGCGATGGGGTTGGGATTTCGCTCGACGAATTCCGAGCCCTACCCCCGCTGCCCATCGAGTTGCCTGAATCGTTGATCACCGGTGCAGGTGCGGGTGTAGTAGATCTCTGGGGGATTTTTTGTTGGATGGACCTCTCAAGCACTCCGCCGCCTCAAGCGGTGCGCGTTCAGAGCAGGAACGCAGCAAACCCACAGGAACAAGCGTGGCAATGACTATGCTGCTCCGCACACGGGTCAAATGCTTCAGCGAGCAAGAGCATAGCAGAGCCCCAGGACAGCAAGGCACTGACAGTGTAGCTCAGCGTCAACGCAGTGGCGGGCGCGGGTGCAGGAGACCTCCGGGGGACGAGAATGGCAATGAAGCAAATTGGTCCTGTCTGCCGCTCGTAAAATAACACCCAATGGCGCGAAATAGCAGCCGATAGCGTTGTTCAAACAGCGCCGAACAGTGCCCCAGTGGCGCCCAACAACACCCAATGGCGCCGTAAGAGGGAAACGCATCACGTCCGCTTTACGCGCTATTGAGCGCGAGATTGCTCGCCATGGAGACGCCCAAAAGCTTCCGTGAGTTGCTTTCGGGGAGGGGGGCCCCAAGACCAGGGCCGTCAATCAACGACCTAGGATGAAGACCTGGTCCCGGAGGAAAGCCGCGGGTTCCAGGCCCCGTTGCCGTCAGGGCCCGTTTCCATCATGCTACGAGGCATGCTGCGCTTGGCTCAGGATGCGCCCTAAGAATTCTCGAACTCCCCGCCTCTGGAGTCCGTGCGAAACAAGAAAATGATTAGGCTGCGGCGGAATTTGTAGCAATCTGGGGAATCCTGGAAATTCTGATTATCATGATTTCTCGCCCCTCTCGGAGAAGAGAAATACCACACGCATGCACTTCGGTCGTCTGCGCGGATCGCTAGGATCCGCGCGGACCTCCGAGAGTTCAGGTGTATATACTAGCTTCGTCTTTTCTTCTTCTTCTTCTTCGTCTTCTTCTTCTTCGAACCTCCCCGTCCGGGGAGCCGTGCAGGTACGGGGACCCCTTGCGCGGGCTGCAGGTCCGCTCCTCGAGGTCGCACGTGATGCCCGCGCAGGCCTCCAGCTCCAGGCACCTGCGGATACCCTCCAAGCGGGGTCTGAGCAGGTGGGGTCGGAGATCTCACCGCATCGCCGAGGCATCGCCAATGCGTCGGCGATGCGGCGGCGACGTTGACGATGCATCCTCGGCGCCGCCAGCGTGAACAAAAATATCGGGCTCCACATCATCGCGGATGCGGCGGCGATGCGGCGCGATCCTCCGAACCCCTATACGCACCCGGACCACGCTTGAGTATCGTTTAACCGATCCCGATCCCCAGCCCCACTAGCCGATTTACCCCCCTAGATATGGATAAAGGCCGTTCCCTTCGGGTTTCGAGGGGTGTATCCCCAACCGAGGGGTAATTTGGTGGGGGTCTCGAAGGGGATGAGGATGGGGATGGGGGTCGGTTAAACGATACTGAACACTGTGGGAGGCCAGGGACGCCTGAGCATCGCCTGCTCTGGAGGGTACGTTACCCTGGAGGGCTCGTCCGCGAACTCGCCCAGGAACTTCCCCGGGTGGCGCTCCTGGGGGAACCGAAAGGCACCGATACCGCCGCTCCCCGGACCTCTCCTGGGGTGCGTTCCGACCAGGATCTCGAGGTGAATCCAGCGGTGGCGACGACAGAGGCCCACGAGGCCCAAAAATGGGAAAACGAGGGGAGGGGGGTAGAGGTATGGTTGGGTCGGGCGTGTCCCCCTGCATGCGGATTTTGGACGGAAAATGCAAATAACCCAAAAATGTACAAAAATGTTCGACAATAGTAGAAAAATCGTCCCCAGACCATTTTCAAGCTATTTTGGAACCTTCCTCCTGTAGAGGGACACGACCGACTTCAAAAGGTATGGGTGCCTCTTCCTCCCCTGAGCTCCCTCCCCAGGAGCGGCCGCAGCGGGTCGCAAGCCACCGCCCCGCCGGGCCGCTGCAGCGGCGCCGCCGGCGCAGGCGGGAGCGGCAGCGCCACGGGGCCGCCCGCACGGGCCGGCGGAGCGACCCTCTGCGGCCGGGGCCTCGGCAGCGGCGACGTCGCCACTGGCAGCGGCTTGGCGGCCGCATGCCTCGGCGGCGGCGGCGTCGCCGCCGGCCCGGGCTGCCGCGGCAGGAGATCGGCTTCCTGTCGGCGACTCCAGAGGGTGTGGTCTGCAGAGGGCGTGATTCGCGATCGGCACCCTGGGGGGCACCCCTGGGGGGCGGGCGGGGACCTCGACAGAGCTCTCCGCCGCACCCCGAGGAGGCCCGACGAGGACATCGTCGTGCCCCCCAGACCCCAACGGCGCCGATCGCAGACCACACCCCGGCGCAACCGTACCCTTCGCAATCGCCGATCCTGGGGCGCCGGCCCTGGCGCAGGTGCGCGGGTCGCGGGCTGGCGGCCGCGCAAGCTCTGGAACGCGGCCGGCCACTGCCTGTCCTGGAGGCTGTCAAGGTGCCGGCGCAGCCGGATGCACACCAGCAGGAACACGAGCACGCTGCAGATGGCGATGGTGAGTATCATCTTCCACATGACCGATCTCGACCAGCCCGCCTGCTCCTCTTGCAGGCCGTTCCCGGCGTTGCTGCCCTTGGGGCGCCGCTTGCGCGACAGCACTTTTGGCGACGCCACCTGCCGGCTGCACACAAGGAAAGACCCCTGGCAACGGCGGCCTCATGGTGCGCGGATTGCCGCCGACCGTCGCATGGGGTGCAACAGGCAGCGACCTGCGAGCTGCTTGGGCTTGGCCCCGAGGCGCCCCCCCGACGGCCGCACACCCCAGGCAACTAAGGTTAGGTCGGGCATGCCCCCCTGCAGGCAGACTTTGGACGAAAAATTAGACATAGTCCCAAAAAATACCCCCAATAAGTCAGAAATAGCAGAAAAAAATACCCCCAATAAGTCTGACTATCCTGAGGCCCCTGCTGCGGCGACGGGGTGCTCTTGCGTGCCGCCGAGCCTTGCGCGCCATGGCCCGCGCACCGGCCCTGCCCGCGGGCCACCCGCCGGGGCCGCGCACGGCGCGCCGCCGCCTCTCGGGGGATCGTTTCTGTGACCCGGGTGAATCCAGACCCGAGCGGGCAACGTCGGGCGGGGGGATGGGCTCGGGGGGGGGGGGGGGAGGCTCAGGGGGTGGGCTCCGAGGGGATGGACCAGGGGGGGGAGAGGCCCGGGTCAGCGCCACCGCGGCTCTGCAGGATCCTGCCAGACCCAGCGCTCCGGCCGTGACTGACCCCCGGCTGCGTGGACCCCCGGCTCTTGAGCCCCGCGCCTCGCCCGGCGGGCACTGCGGCGCTCGCGCCGGCGATCGGCCTGCCGGGGCCAACGCGGGCCAAGCGGCTGCCCACCTGCAGCTGGACCGGGTGGTGCGCATGGTGGCGCGCGGCGGGCCTGGCCTGCCTCCGTGTCGGCCCCCGGCGCCGCCCCGAGTCCGTGGAAAAAGCTCGAGGTGAGATCGGTACGGTTCGAAGGAATGTGGAGGAGCCTGGCGTCGCCCCCATTCCAAGTCTAGAGGGCTCTGCAGCAGCATTCGACGCGGAGCCAGAGCCCGATGTGTGCATCTCGTGATCCTGGCACGTCCAGCTGTGAGCGTCTGGCTGTGAGCGTCTAGGTGTGGAAACGAGTCCGGGTGGACGACGGGGGCAACGATGTCGACGGCAGCTGCTCCTTGGGTTGCCCACGTGCCACGCCTGCTACATGGCTGTGATCACGAGGGACAGAAAAAGAGCGTGGACAAAGAAAAGAGCAAACCGCTCGAGACGCCCCCTCTTGTGATATCCCAAACCCGGACGGCAGCGCAGTCTGGGCCTGAACAGCGTGTAGGAGACGCCTGCCAGGGAGCGTAAAGCATGCCCAGGGGCCAGAAAGCTTATGGGAGACGCTTGCAAGGAAGCTTGAAAGTATGCGCCGCAAGCGTGCAAGGGTGGAATGCGAGCTGCGGACGATCCCAGGACTCGCTGCGAAAGAGCTTGCACACGAACTGGGATGGGAACGAGTAGGAGAACGCTTCCAAGACGAGCTGCAAGTTCCAGCAAATTGCTGAGGCGCTGTCTGACCAGCAGCCGTGAAAGGATGCTGGAAAACTCTTGCCTGACGGATTCTTCTCTGATACCCGACTTAGCCCTCAAGGAGCTATCCAGAAACAATGTGCCCACAAAGAGGCAAGTGTCCTACCGTCTAGCGGCTCCTCCTCGAGCCCACCCAGCGCTACCCCTGCTATATCCTGCTACATCGCGGTGGTCATGGGGCCCTCAACAGGAAGGGACTGAGCCACCAGACGTGCACATTTCCTGAGACATCACCACAATCTGGGCGCCCGTGCAGCATCCTCTGGCGGCTCGCCACGTGCTAGGCTTGCTTCATCGAGGTGATCATGGAACTCTCAGGAGAGAGGGCTCCGAGCCACCAAACCGAGAAACCGCTTGCGACATCCCCACCATCTGGAGGCGAACGGGCCCATACAGCGCGCCCTCGCGGCTCCTCCTTGGGGTGCCCACGTGCCACGCCGGCAACCTCACGGGGCTCTCACATTGGAGGGGTTCAAGCCATCAGACAGGCAAACCGCCGAAGACATCCCTAGACCATGAACGCGAACGGGCAAACAGGCCCTCCCTGGAGGCTCCTCTTTGGAGGACCCAAGTGCCAGGCCTGGTATATCGCGGTGACCATGGGGCTCTCAAAATGAAGGGTTCTGAACCACCGAATTGGAGAACCGCCTGCGACATCCTCACAATCTGGGCGCGAACGGGCTTGTGCAACATCTCCTGACGGCTCCTCATTGGGATGCCTAAGTGCAACGCCTGCTATATCGCGGTGACCATGGGTAAAAAAAAAGAAATGAGACTGGGGGGCAAAAACAACTATGGAATCGTCTGAGACGCCACGCCCCCCCCCAATCGGGAGCGCGAGCGGCAAAGTGTCCTTATCCCTGGCGGCTCCTCTTTGGGGGTGACCAAGTGCCACGCCTGCTGCATCGCAGTTGTCATGGGGCTCTCAAAAAGAGCAAGGGGGGGTATCAAAAACAACAAACCACGTGAGACATCCCCACAATCTGGGCGCGAACGGGCAAGTGGCCACCTCCCTGTCGGCTTCTCTCGGGGGTGCCCATGCCCAGCGCCTACTCTATCGCGATGGTCATGGAGCTTTCAAACGAAAGGAGTCAGAGGGGGGGGGGGGGGGGGGGGCAAAAACAGCAAACCGCCTGAGACATCCTGGGCGCGAACGGTCAAGTGTCCCCCTCTTTGGCGGCTCCTCCTTGGGGTGCGCAAGTGAAGCGCCTGGTATATCGCAATGGTCATGGGGCTCTCGAAAGAGAGGGGACTTGAGGGGGGGATCGGCAAACCGTCTGAGACATGTTCAGGAATTGGGCGCGAACGGGCAAGTGTCCCCATCCCTGGCGGCTCCTCTTGGGGTGCCCAAGTGCCAAGCCTGCTACATCGGGTGTGAGCTAGTCTGAGCGTCAGTGGGTCCGAGTGAGACTGAATATGTGCGAGCGTGGCTCATCATGTGAACGCGCGGCTGTGAGTGAGTCTGAGTGTGGGCCTGTCTGTGAGCGGGTCTGAGTGTGAGTGGGTCTGTGTGCGTGTGAATGCCATAGCCCACGCTATTGCGGATAAGAATCAGAGGGTGGCGCGGTCGTCGGGAGTCTGCGAAGCTCTGAAAAAGCCTGTCGAATCGCCAGTTGTTTCTACATATTGCACAACAAGCACGCCGCATTCGCCGAAAATTTGTCAAAACAACGTGGTTATGTCGCGGGTGTCGCGGGTGGGTCGCGGGGTGGGTCGCGGGGTGGGTCGCGGGGTGGGTCGCGGGTGGGTCGCGGGTGGGTGACCGGCGGATCGCGGACAAGGACGACGACGACGGCGACGACAACAACAACAATGTCGAGACTGTTCGCGCTTACGTACTCTTCGTTTTCGATCGTATCCCATTAGGGGTATATCTTTCTTACCTGCGGCGTGTATTGTGTGCAGCCTCTCAGGCAGGGGAAGAGAGGATGGATGGAAGGAAGGGACAAGGGGGAGGGAGGAGGATGTAGCACGAGAGAGAGAGTAGCAGGAGAGGGGCTAGGAGCAGACAACACGTGGCAAAACCAGACGGCCAGATCGGGCGGGTAGACCCTAAGGGACGGGTCGGGAAGGCGGGCCCAGGCGGCCATGTCGAACAGGCGGGTTGCTGAAACGTGCTTCCTGATGATTCGCAAGGAGGTTTCAAGCGATAGCGCGATTTCCAAATACATCGTGAGATCCACAGCGAGAGCGTGATTCCTGAGTGTCGACGGCGCGGCGTCTGAATAAATTGCGAGGACGTCCCACGCGAGAGCGCGATTCCTACATACATTGTGAGGAAGTCCAGCGTGAGAGCACGATTTGGGAACAATGCGCGGGGAAGTATCAAGCGAGAGCCGCTGATGTTGTGAACTGGGGCCCACAACATAGCTTGGTGACACCTCATTTTCCCTTACACAACCAGGTGCGAGCCCCAATAGAAACACATTCCTTGAACAATACAATAGTTACCAGAGGGGGGATCAACAGCACTTATTCTTTAGACAACGTTCCGGATCCGCACGGCAGCGTCCCACTTCAACCACGCATCCAAAGACAATGAACGGCCGTTCGGCCCCCATCCCTCTGATGAGTGTATGTATAACTAAATATGAGTGTGCGTGCAAGTGGTTCTGAGTATGAGTTAGTCTGAGTCCGAGTGAGACCGAGAGTGACTGAAAATGTGTGAGCGTGGACTGGGTATGCGTGCCTCATAATACGAATGTTAGGGTGTCAGTGATTCTGATTATGAATGAGTCTGTGTGCAAGCGGGTATGTGTGTCAATGCTTCTCAGTACGAGTGAGTCTGGATATGCCTTAGCTGAATACGAGTGCATATGAATGCAAGCGGTCTGTGTGTGAGTGGGTCTGGCCGAGTCCTTCTAAGATTGCGTGAGTCTGAGTGCGAGCAGGAAGAAGGGCAGCGCACGCCTGCGGTAAGGATGAAGCGGAAGCGTCGCGGTAGTAGCAACGATGCCATCTTAGGACATAGGGAACCAGTGCGGCTTCAACCGAGCAGCAGGAGCCTTCTGCACGGACCTCTAGATGATCGATAGGGGCTTCAGTAAAAAAAGGAAGGGCCCGAAAACTGGAGACAAGGCGTATCGAGGAGGAAGAGACGGATGACACGACTGCCCGACAGAGAACTGATGAGACGGGAAACCGAAAGGTACGGATATCGCTACTCCACGGATCTCTCTCGTGGAGCATTCTGACCAGAGTTTCGAAGCAATTCCAGCGGTGAACACGAGGGCCTCCCAGAAGGATCCCCCTCCTCCAACGAAAAAAAAGGACAACGAGGCAAGGGCAGCCGTCTGGGTACTGTTTCATCCTCCTCTGAGGCTCTCTCCTCTCCTAGGCGTCGATAGCACTCGCGTAGCCGCAATGGTTCGGAGTCCAAGCGCGGGCACCGTAGGACTGGTGCACGGGCCTTGCGGCAGAGGTTGGCAAAGACGCGATCGGTCGAAGGAGTTAACTGGCCTCGAACTTACCCCTTACCCCTAAGATCGACAAGCCCAAGGCGATGAAAATCTTAGGGGTGTGCCTTCAGAAACTGAGGAAATCCCTAAGATCGGCACCGAGAGAAGGAGATGCCAATCACAGGGATAGGCATATGCATTATGCTGGTAGGAAGTAGGTAGAAGCATGAAGTAGGACGGCGTTGAAGGTAGATTGGGGTTCCGCCCGCCCACTAAATAAGAGGGAAGAGAAAAGGCCGCTCAACAACTGCGATAAGGACCTGCGAACTTAGAACTACATGCGTCCACCGGCCGATGGGTAAAGTAGAATCGATTCCGGCCCGCCGTAGGAACAAGCGGCACACGTGGGAAGTAAACGACTTGTAAACTTTGACGGCGTTTCAACAATGCGTTTCAAACTTGCTGTCCAACACGCGGAAACATATATATATATATATATATATATCATGAGAAACAAGCGTATTTTTCATCATACCTACTGGCATGACCTCCCAAAAAGGTTATTCGGCAGCGAGCCCGGAGGGGATTGAGAAGGAGAAGGCCTTCTCAGAAGGCTCGGAAGTCCCCCGGCCTCCTGAAAATTGCTCAAAGCCTTCCCCGGAGACGTAGAAAGCTTGTCAGAAGGCGCGAAGGGTTCTAAGAAGTCCCGACGCCTTCTGAGAGGGCCTCCTCCTTCTCACTTCCCCCCCGTCGCTCGCCGCCGAATTATTCTGACCGACCGATCGCCCCCCCCCCCCCCCCTCGGAAGACTCTCCAGACACCTCCCTGGTCTCCTCCCGCGCCCCCGTGGCTGGTCTGGAGGGCCTCTGGAGGTCCCTAGAGGTCGCGGCGGGCTCACAAGCGCACGCGAGCGAAACAAAAACACGCCTCGCCCACACGTCGGGCGCTCCTTGCTGCCCCCCAAACTGTGCTCGCTCT